TGCTTCCTCTCTGAAGAAATTCGAGAGAATCCCACTCCCGCTGAAAGTGAGGAACAACTGGGATCCTCCCGATCGATTTTCTTGTTAAGGCGCTTATTGACTAGTCTTTGCCGTTTGTGGTACTTGGTGGTTCTGTNTGTTCCGTCGTGTGACTTCAGCTACTTCCCGTTAGTAGCTCCTAAGGATTAATTGCCCAGAAAGCATCGAAATTGTCTGCGAGGCTAGTCATCGTTCCGTGGACCAAAGATCCATGTTGCGAGCGCGGTTTCTGCGTGGAGGGCAGCCAGCCGACCATGTGACTATTTTCTATTTGTTCTCCCTCACCGTCTCTCTGCCACGGTCTCCTCCTTCTCACTTGTACCCCCTTGTTGTCGTTGTGAAGACATAGCGCTGTGCTCAGCTATCGTTACAAGCTGTTCATGCATTTGAGTGTTCCTATTCAACATCATGGTTCCCTGGCGGAATTGGAATTTTTTTCTTCGTATTCCATTAACATTATGGGCTTCTGAGAACGATTGCATTTATTGTCTTTGATGTTATTTCTTGGCAATTTCGAGGTGCCGAAACGTTTAGTTTTGAGCCCGTTGCCTCCTCATCTTCCACAAGTTTCTCATCATCAGATCCGGACCGCGGACCACCCTTTATCTACGGCATACCGTTTGAATTGTGGTTAACAGATGGTTTTTCGAGATTCGGATTCGGATTTGGTTAAAAGGAATTTGTAAAAGATATTTGTATCAGTTTCATTTGGTCTTTGATAGTCAACTTTTGCCTGGCAATCACTGTCTGATACTTTGAGCTCATTCGCTTCTTTTTTCTCATCGACAGGAGGGCATCATTGAGCTGATTCGAGCGAGATCTCGGAACTCGCTCTCTTTATCATTCTATCACCTTGTAAAGATTTTTTATCATCTCGTAAAGATCGAAATCCTTCCGATCATCGACATATTTGACCCTTTTGCATGATTCCTCTATAGCTGAAGACGTTTTACACTTCGATTCATTTATTCATCTGAAAACATATGTACGTGAAAATCTATAATTGTTGCCATTACAAGAGTGTGTAGAGGAAACAGAAGAAGGGTTCTAAAAAATCTTTATTGAGCTGCTATAATTATTTTTAGTAAGTACACGATAATTCGGAAGTATGCGGAGTCCTTTGACGTAGTTCAGTTGTACTATGAGGTTCTTCCCAAAGAATTGCACTTTTTTTTGTCCTCTAATGAAATGATTTCCTTTTTGAGCCACAACAGGAAACTACTTTAATGGGTCCTAACATTGTTTGATGTTATATATAGAATTGGATTTGCAAATTCAAAGTGAAAGCATAATGATTTCTGATTCAGTCCCCTTTTGCTGGGAAAGCATTCCCCCCTGCTTAATCAGTCGCGGTTACTAAATGGAAGTGTCATAGGGAAGTACCGGATTGTTTCTTGAACCTCACAAGGATAAAAGTAATTCGTGAGCAAAACTTCGGTCTCGGACGGGGCTCGAAGTTAAGTACTTGAGTTTTGCGCGTCCACATTGCTTTTCGGCTACTATGGCGGAATGACAGCAGTTAACAAGAAAAACGAGTCGAAACATGTTTCTTCCGTATTTAGTCAAAGTAGTAACGCCATCCCACTTCATCCTTCCTTTCTTTCTTTCCTTCCTTCCCTCCTTCCTTCTTCCTTCTTTCCTTACTTTCCTTTTCTTTCTTTGTGTTTCCCTTCTTTCTTTCTTCTTTTCTTTCTTTTCTTCTTTTCTTTCTTTTTCTTTTCTTCCTGTTTTACTTTTTTTATTTTCTGCTTCCTTCTTCATGCCATCCTTTCTCTGCCTTTCTCTCTTTCTTTCCTTCGCTCCAATTCTTTGTTCTTACTGTTTTTCACTCGCTCTTTCGTATTTTCTCTTTCTTTCCTTTTCCTTCATTCCTTTCATTTTTTTCACTCCCTTCAGTCCTCTGTGCTTTCTCTCCGAAGTTTATTTGTTTGTTTTCTTGTTTATTCTTCTTTTCTTTTTCCTACAATCTCATTTTCCATTGGAAGGGATCCACTGGAAGACATTATCAGCTGGATGACTGACTACCCGTGTGTAACACGAATTTTACTATCGTCAACAAGTCACTTACTATTTTGAGCCCACTCCAGTAAACAATGAAGACCGGTTTTTGTCCCGAACAGCTGTCAATTTGCAACCGTTGAGTCGATAACTTGAATATTTATGTTGGTCAATCCTGGTGGTGTAAGTCGTTGGCAGCGGTCCAAAAAGCATCAAACATCTAATTTTCCATTCATGAGTATACTCGCTCCCTCTTAGCTTCATATAATGACTGGGGTTGAGATGAAACGACCTTTGCCTTCGTGTATAATGCCTCCGATCGAATTGATGGAGGCCCTCGCTTCCTTTCACTCTCTTCCAGTATATGATTCAGATTTTTTATCTTCATGACTAAATGAATTTTTTAGTTTTTATGAATATATAGGTCGGGGTTACCCTATAACCAATTGAGGAATTCATTAAATTATTTTGTTTTCGCACTTTGTGCAGTGAGGAACTCTTTTTGATTGATAAAAATTCAAGCTTGTAAATGAAAACTAAAGAGAATGAAAGAGATCAAAAATGTATCGGAAAAAGAATTCCCAACTTTTTTTCCAATATTGGTCCTGTGCAGATTGGTGATGCCGAAAAAAAGGTGTCAGTACCATGCACTGATTCGTAGATATGAACCCCTGATCGAAACCAGCTATTACACCTCTCCAACCTTTCTTATTAACTTGTTCGATCTGTTTTGGCTGAGTCTGTTCAGTCAATCAGGTCAAACATCCTTTCAGATTAATTAGTTCTTATAATTACTAATACTTCCAACGGGTATACGCTTGAAGATCATGCTGATGAAATGAATTCTTTGAAAAAACTTCGGTAGCATTGAGCTTCAGCACCAGTTAACTTTCTCGTCTTTCTATCCCATCAGTGCCATCGAGAAAGGCTTCCTCAAATTCCTTTCTCTACACCGACTGTTTTCGAGAATTGACCATGCGCCACAAGGTCAACCTAGCGGGGGAACTGCCCGTTCTCCGAGAGCTAGCTTCCAAGGAAAATAGACGTTGGTATGAACTCCAATAGTTCCTTGTAGTCCATTGTATTTCCTGAAAAATACGTCTTGAACTTTCCTGCAGGTCGCACTTAGTTCTACTCACGGTAACAGTCCGCAGTTGCGTACTAACAGCGCATGGAGGGGAATACCCTTTCATTCTTGTCACACACATACGTCGTCTCCAACAACTCGCACCTGAAAAGAGATCTGGGCAAGGGACACGGGGGGTGGGGGAAGGGAGAGGTAGGTAAAACGCTGCAAACACGGATCGTTACCGTGAGTTGATGTAAACAACACCATTATTGTATACAAATCTGAATGAAAGTGAGACGTCAACGCTTTCCTACACAAAACCATTTGGTGCGGGGATTTTCAAGTTTTCGATTAGCTTTCCAAAAAGTACGTATCTTGTAGCATGGTAGCTTGGGAGTATGTCGCGTTACTTGTTACTTACTTCCAGCTACTCTCATTTACGATACTATGTAATTGACATCTACCCCTCTGCCCCACTTGTGTATCGTAGAGCATCAGGGTCGGCTGATGTAGGAACGAAAGCGAGAAATTAGAGATATCAATAGAGAAGTGGAGCAATCAGTATAAATTAATTGTAAGAAAAACAGCAGCAGGCCAGTGTTCAGAGCTAATTGAGTGAAAACTATCGGAGGCTTCTGCTGCACCATTTTTTACGGTAGTAGTATCGATGGTATAGTTTCCGTTCAATGGCGCACCTATGTGCAATAAATAAATAAATAAAAATAAATCCCAACATGTAACATAATCTTTTAGGATGTGTTGTTGAACTCGATGTTGATTGCTTTGTTTACGTCCATGGTATTCTATCCCCTTGACTTGAAAGGAAAGGGCTGCCTCCTGGTTCCTGTAGCAACTCATTGAATCTGAAATACTCTGTTTCTCTTTTTGCTGCTACCTATACTTTACTTGAGTGAGAACTCCACCCCTCCGCCTTAGTTTCCATATCTTTTTTCAGTTACTAATAATTTTGGCTGGGTGAAAATCGTTGGTGCACACTATCACGTGCTTATTGTTAGACCGGGAATCCGATACTGGATCGATACTCATCCAGGCCGAGCAAGCCTATCTCTACGAGGTCTGTTAGCTGGTATCAGGCCCTTGAGGTTAATAAAACTTGGACTTGGGCATCGGCTGGCCACCACAATCCATCGTATAGGGCATGTGAGGGATCGGAACGCTACTAAGATTATGAATTGAGTCGAATACGGAGGCGCATCCCTCAAAAAGATTGATTAACGCCCCGAAAATTTCTCCTTTATGACCCGTCAACGCTTTCCCACGTAAAACGCTTGGCAGCAAGTCAAGTTTGAAAGCTCGAGGTCCACGGGAACAGGATTAGTCAGTTATAAACTTACCGACAGATGTGGGGCGCATCCCAGAAGCGGGATTGATCAGCGACATGAAACTTGCTCTTTTTTCTTTGTACCTGGTTGCGTCTCATCCACTTCTCTATGGGCTCCACATAGGATATATAGACCTATTTCTTTTTTCATCTTACAACTAGCTCGCATTTTGCATGCTAATGACGAAAAGACTGTTTTTTCTCCTTGGAAAGAAAAAAACAAAAACATCGTAACAGTACAGTATCACCTTATCTAGTACGCCATTTCTGCATACGTTTAATGAGACCTGAATAACATTAACAGAAATTATAGCAACATTTGAATGCTGCTATAATTCTTGGTAATAAATACGATGGTTCGAGAGCTTGGCTTATCCTTGACAAATTGGCCTAGACTCTGTGTACTTTATTATGCATAGAACTGCCTGAGTATTCCTCTCTTTGAAATATGGTCTTCATAATTTCTGTGGAATTTTATGAAAACTGAAGTTTCCGTACTGGTCGGCTGTTCTTTCAGAAGTGACTATTCCATCAGTAGAAGAGCTGGAATTCATGCCACCTGCTGGAGGCACTGAAGTGATCATTTCTGAAATTGACGATTCTCACTGCATGCAATCTGTTGGTAATTCATCAGTTGGACAAACGGTTCTGGAAAGGGACGAAGGGGTCAAGTTTGATGAAAATGGCCTTGTGAGACCCACGATCGTGGAGTCTTCAGAGGTTCGGTTCTATCATTTTTTTTTTGAAATTCTATTTTCTTTTCTCTTATTTTCTCATGCAGGATATGGCCTTTTCTCAAACCAAGAATTTCTGGCTTATTTTGTGTTTTCTACCACTTTGGCGAAAGGGTGGATTCCGGTTAAGTGCGTAGTAAATAAGATGCCAGAACAGAGGAGGTTCGGGTATGGTCCGGGACCAACCTTCAAGTATAAACCTTAACATAGAACTCAAAGCTTTTTACCTCTAATACTATTTTTATTATTCTACTACGTGAAGTATGTACATGATTTGCTGCTAACCTATGTTGCATTTCATGCAGATGGATCTATAGAGACTCGGGATCAGTCTTTGGAATCTGAAGTTTACATGTTTTCATTCCCATTAGGTTTGAACCTGGGACCCGTCTAACGCAGTGTAAACATCTTAAATGTACTTACCGTTTTTATGACTGTTTCTCCCTGAGATGTAATGGGGGGGGGGGGGGGGGGGGGGGGGGGGGGGGGGGGGGGNGGTTGGGCACATAATTTATACTGACACCTACTACTGGGCCACCTGACACCCTAGCTCGTTTTCATCCTCGGTTATGAAGATTTTCGATGAAGTAGTGCTCGAATTTTTTCTATTTGGTTCACACTGTATTTATGGGAACGCAAATTGTGGCGGGACCAATAGGAGTAATAATGGTTCATGGCATTGAATCCGCTCATTCGAAAAGATTGTTTACCCTACTTCTAAAATGAACTGTGTACCTAAAGTGGCCATGAAGAAAAGCTGATGAATATAGAAATGAGAGAGTTCCAATTGCTCTTCTTCAACAGGGTCTATAAACCGTGTGGACTCCGAGTTGCGCCGCGCATTCCTTTTCCGCTTGTTTTTGTAAGCTTTTTAAGATATTCTAATATTATCCAAAAGGCTCGAAGCCAGCCTGCGTAAACTCGTGGTTCTTTCTCTCAAACAGGTCGGGTACCAGTAAATCGGCCACAGAGTAATGGTGGTCCTGCCAGCTTTTCTTAGATTTGGTCTTAATTTCGGTTATGCATATGACAGGAATACTACTGACCCACTACTGCATTTTTAACCGAGTTATAGAGTTTTCAAAGAGTAAGGTTTTGATCAGAAGTCTTCCAGGTGATTGACCCTTGTGGTTGCCCAGCAAATTTGCGCGCAATCGGAGAAATTGTGAACGACGTCGTCAGTGAAGTTGTGCAAGATGTTCCACCAGAAGTGAAGTAGGTCTTCAATTTTCATGAATTCCTCTGGAAAAATTTGAGGAGTCCTCTTTCATTCTGTTCTGCTCACATATGTATTTTCTAGCGTCCACAGGCTGTACAATCCGGATTTTTAATAAAAAAAATTGTGTAGGTATATGCACAAATTAAAAAATATTTTTCAGGGAGGCAGCATGCACTTCATCGCTGGTTTTCGCTTCATTGGCAGGGCTGTTCTTCTCGATTGCTCTCTACAGATACCTTCGACATCTGTATTATCCAGAACCAGAAGGGTTTTTTTGCAGGTGAGAAGCGGAACTTTTAAAGCTCGTTAAAAACTTCAGCTAAGGAATAAAAAACCTTGAGGAACTCAACCTGCGCTTACTTTTATCATTTTAAATGGGGATACCTTCAACTGTCTCCAAAATCTTTTCATCGGTGGTTTGCGCTTTCGCGTAAAGGCTTCCTTGTGCAGCGTGCAGGCATTTGGCCTGTTGCGACCTCCTTAACTATGAACCCGACCCCACTCAATTTTCTTTTGATACGTTTCATCGTTTTTGTCCTTCCTTGCCTTTTCAGTGAGTCGGAATCGGGCTCAGGAATGGCTCATGTTTACACAGTGGCCAGTTGCAAATAGGTTATACCCAACCTTTTCGTTCTAGACCCTTTGATTGTTGAGTAGCTCGTTTGGACCCTAGTAAGGTCTCCATTCATCCCTTATTCGCGAGCCATTGCAGTTCGGTGGGCCCTCAACTCTCGATGGACACGAAGCATAGCATTCCTTTCGGTCGGAGCTTCCATGAAGAAAACCGACCATCGCGCTGGCGATCATCCTGATATTCGTTTGAGGTCCCGAGAGATCCGGCCAGTAACCCTCCTAATCCAGCGGTCGTCACGGAGTGACGTGATCGCCCATATGACCCTCGATTCCTTGGCCTTCAGGGCAGTTCCATTATCTCAGTTTGGCTACGAACTTCGTACTTTTTAGGATTGGTCAAGAACAAATTTTATACTTTTATGAGAAGATGACTTTATGCCATCAAATATAGGTAAAGCTAGTGTAGAACGTGAGGTGCTTCCAGTGAGATCCACTTCACTAATATTTAATATTCATTGTTAAATGTTGTGAATTTTAGCACATTTTCTTGGCTTTTCGCTCCGTTATTTGACGCACTTTGCGAGAGGCAGCCACCGGGCGGATTCTTCCACGAAATGAGGCACGAATCAACCGTTTTATACGGCGAAGTGCAAGAATGTAAGCGACTTCATACCGTTTGATTTATTTTCTAGAATATGCCATCGGCCGTGTCTCTTGAGAAGTCAAGAACTAGATCTACGAACGGTTTTCTATGAAATTCGGCAAGACTGCTGTATTATTGAGTAGTTTTCTCGAACTCTTCATAAGGGTTGTATGTAAAGGTATATAAGCTTTATTAAGCTGACGTTTCGGCTGAATCGCCTTCTTAAGAGCCTAAAAAATCGTAAGGATTTGTGACTATCCGATCAAACTGAACTGACCAGACTATCCGATCAAACTGCCCTGATTCGACCAGTGTCAGCTGGAGTAGGTAGTTCATTCAAATCCAGTAATTCGAGGAAGCCACGGTTTTGAGAAGATTGGTTTTACCGCAGTGTCTTTGAATGAACACCTCCCCGTGTTACATTTATCGGTTCTTACAACGATAGTTGGATAGTCTCGAAGAATTCACAAAGCGACGGTGAGTGGCACTTTTCTGAATCATAGGCGTGCCCTGGCGGTGTTGAATTTGAAGGCACAGTCCACGAAAATTTTGAGGTACCCCTGTTTTATCGAAAAACGGAAGTGTAGATTGGGAATAGATCGTCGGTTGTGAAGAAAGCGAGATTTGGAGAAAATGCGTCTCCTCAAAAGTAGGGGTAATAGCGGTTGCACCAGGCTACCATGATGGAAATAACATGGCAGAGGTATTCGGACAAGATTTCAGTTGTTGCAATTGCACAAAGAGCTGACCACATCAAGCAAGAGCTGTACAAATACGCCTTTCACAGCGCTGTTGGTTACGAAAAGTTGTTTGATCTCCCTTCATTGGTTTCCACGTACGGTATACGGATTTCCTATGAATTCATTCTAGCGCAATATCTCAAAAGTCATTTTGTCGTGTACTGTGCCTTCAAACGGCCAGCGGATGTATATTTGATAGGACAGACACAAATCGTTACGTTCCCTCCAAGCTCATAGGCGATTCCGCCGATTCGTGAACCTGATAAAACCTCTATACAAACCTCGAAAAGTTCAAGAGGACAACTCAAAAATACAAGATTACAAAATTGAAATTACAATTCAAAATGAAGAGATACTTGATGCGATGTTGATCTGATTCTCATTAGGTATTTTCTTTGTGTAATGATTATGATTGATTATCAAAATTTCAGCGATTTCGAACTTTTTTCAACTTATGATGGACGGATTTCATGCTCTCGGTGTTATATTCTCAAAAATGCTTGAAGGATTGATAGGAAACGTACGTTCTACGATAACTAGCAATTTTGTAATCTTAATTCCTTTAACTCTTAACAGAAGATATCAAGACTGGCTTCTGTGCCTTCTCGTTCCACATTGCTTTGATTCTATACTTACAAGTTTGCGTTCACCGCTGGAGATGTTTGGCATTTTCCCTTCATTTACCGTTAGATTATAGATTTGGAAAGTAATTTTTTAACGCTGGCCATTTAAGTAGGGAAGGCTGAAACTTTGCAGAAAGAAGATTGGAATGGGCTCACGAATGGGACACAAAAAAAATAGGGAGGGGGGTTGTGCAGTAGGACCGAAATAGTCGCGTCGCGACGAGCGACGGTCGCGCGCAAAGGAATGTTGAAGCGAATCGATATATAGAACCGATCGTAATGCCCGTCTCCCAAGAAATAATCGTTTCATCTCTGATGATAAGGTTTTCTGAAAGAATGCGAGCTTACAAAAAGGAAACAGTAACGGTTGAAGGTGTTGAGCAAAAGAATCGGTATCTATATCAAGGGTGCTGTGTTAGGGACCTGGTATTGTTTCAGACCACAAAGTCTAAAATGAGGGTGTAGTTGGCATATGCTGGACAAGATGCATGCAGTAGTTGTCAACAGCGAATTGCACCTAGCGGTAATAGGCGACAGCCATCTACCCTTAGCTACAGCTGATTCAGGTGGGGGTTGTCGGTCGACAGGCGGGGCTTCTGCCCAACTGGTGGCGGTGGCCCCTTTATGAATCCCCGTCATCCTGATCGTTTGTAATACTGTGGAATGGGTCCTGTTTCTGCTGTTACGCCCAGTTTCATATTATATCACCATTTCCCCTTCGCAATTCAACAATCAAAACTTTTTTGTGCTTATATGATTTATATGAGAGTGCTATTCAGGCAACTAAAAAAATTATCGCTTCTGCAGTAGACGCAGAAGGAAACAAATATTGTCAGTAGATTGAATCCGACAGGACGTTTGGAACGTTTTGAAAAAGGGATAGCTGACTAGAAAATTTGAGATATCAATGAAACTTTTCTGTAGTACAAATATTCTTCATTATCATCAGTTCGATAGAATGTGAAGATTAAGACTATTGATGGTAATAATAAGAGTAATGTAGAATGACCAATAAGAGCCTGTTTATGTCATTGATTGTGACTTTATGTTCACGAGTTCATGCGAAACGCTGAGACAACCGAGATGTTTGAGAGGTATAACAACAGATTGAGAAGCCCATCTAACCGTATGGTGAATGAGCAGGGATCGCCAAGCGAAAGGGTGAAACAGAATAGGCAAGTTGGACACGAAAGATCCTAATGGCGGCATAGATAACGCGCTCCATCGATGCTCAGCAATTGGGCGGGGCGATCGCCTCCCGCCCCTTTTCCTTCACCTACTCTAAATGCATGTTACGTGCAGAAAATAGAAAAATTGAAGGGAACTATCAACAGTAACTATTTTTTTCTTTCAGATCGACGATGGAATTGAAGAACTGAGTGAAAACGTATCCGAAAACGTCTCATTTCTGGCACGGTTTNCGCCCCTTTTCCTTCACCTACTCTAAATGCATGTTACGTGCAGAAAATAGAAAAATTGAAGGGAACTATCAACAGTAACTATTTTTTTCTTTCAGATCGACGATGGAATTGAAGAACTGAGTGAAAACGTATCCGAAAACGTCTCATTTCTGGCACGGTTTTGCAGCCAAGTTTTTTACGGAACATTGCACATCTTTACTGATACCATATCCAAATGTGGACAATCGGTTATCGATATCTTCTCTCATGATTCTCATGATCGCTGGGAATAGCAGCTTACAGTTAGATCTCTGATTTTTCTCCTTTTTTTACCACAGAGCATTTTCTGATGCATTACAGTTTGTCGTTTGATTACAGTTCTTATTAGTTTGAGATGTATAAATAGTGGACATGTGATTGGGCCTATCCAGAACGTCCTACGCGGGTGAAACAGGGACACACCATGGAGTAGATTCCAACTGGTGCGAACTTCGAAACAGACTTTCTTTTTTTCGATAGTATAGATTTGTAGAGGTAACGCCTTATGATCATGGACGGCCGTTGACCATTCCCTTGACTATCCGAAACGAGTTATAAATTTTCTGCTCCATCATCACTTTTATGACACACGGCGACACTCAAGGTCATTTGAATGTTCGCGCCTTTGGAATCCCATTTTTCGTGGTGATTCTCTCTTCTCCCGTTCAGGACGTTCTGTTTACGGCCAATGACTTCTTGCAAGGTGAAATTGTGCAGGGATCCTGCGTGGGACCACTTAATATCTCTTCCTGGGTGGGCTGTTCTGCACATTCGACTTACGAACCCACGCAGGAACTCTTATAATTTTTCCGAGTTCTAAGAATATGACTACGAATCGTTCCATTTGTAGATACTATGTAGTTTTCTGTGTGTTTCTTATTCTCCTTTGAGATCCAGCAGTTGCATTCTTTTATATTTTTTTTATCTTTTCTTCTATCGCTACTCAAAGAGCATACTGAATCAGGCTATTTGCGTGTACTTCCATTCAACCTCAGTCAAAATGTGAAGTTAGTTAGAGCGCTGTAGGTAAAAATGGAGTCGGGAAGGACCTTGGCCTTTTTAAGCTTTTAAGCTCTAGTCTACGCTCTCCGTTCAGTTAACAAGTTTGGAACTTGGCCAGTAGTTCATTCATCCATTCTCATGCATTTCCTTCCCTCTCCAGAATGAGGCAGAAATATCCTTCCCTTCTGCCCGGTATCGTTCGCACCATCCCAGGCTGATTCATTCGTGGCAATAACATTCGCTTTGCTGTGGCCTTCTGACAGTGAGACGCCAAGCGTCACTGCTTCCGTCCCTGCCGTCCTTCGGCCCACTCCCACATCATTTTTACCATTCCTCATGTAGGATCTGTCCTAACAATTGGACCATAGCTATTTTGCATTAAAGCAGCTGTACGTTAGCGAAATTAATCCCACTTTTTATGCTTGTGGGGGTTCGCTCGAAAGCAAGTCGATGGCGTCCTTTAACTGTTACTGTCGCCCGCGTTCCTAGAAGAATGGTGTTTTGTTAGATTTCAGCCCATCGTTCTTTTTTGATCCCCGTCGCTGTTACCAAAAAAAGAACCATTTGAGCTCACCACTTCTATCCCATTATTATACATTAATCTTTGGTAAAAAATATGAAGGGCAATCATTGGTGCCCCACGTCTATGACGGCAAGGGCTGAAAAGCGGCAACGGAAAGGAAGCCGATTGAATCAGTTTGTGATGATGCGTTTAACCGAGATATCTACATTTTGGTCTATCCTAATGTCCAGGGGAACCTTAGCGTGGGTAAATCCTTGACCAAGCGCCCAAAGTTAGGGTGAACTGGAACTACTCAGTAGAATGATGTCTGTGGGAGGGCTGGGAAAAGGTGGGCGGCCATCTCCAACTCCGTTTTCAACTGAAGCTTTCTTTCCGGCTAGTTTCTTTCTATGTTTCTCTTTCCATTTTCACTAGCAAATTTCGCAATTAGTGTGTTTTTGTGATACAGTAACAGCACGGCAGGTTACTGGTCATTAGAAAGTTCGAGACTGGGTTACAACCCAGATCTTCAAGCCAGGACCCTAGGCACGGGGTACTGTAGCACAAAATTACGCAAGCTTCGATCCTTCGTAATCCTCTTCATGATGCTTTTTAAATCTTCTTTAGCCTTCTTTTTTTTCGTATGCTATCGCATCGTTTGTATATATTGTATATTATTGGCTCCCATGAATTTTTATGAAAAGAAGTTATTGTTGGCTTATCAAGCGCTTCATGGGTGCTG